GGGCCAGACGCGGCCCTGGAAAATAGCCAAAGGGCGCGCTGCTCGTCATTGGCGAGGGGCGGCTCGATTTTGAAGACACGGCGAAGCGGCGTGCGGCCGCAAGCAGCCATCTCGGCCAGAGGTTGAGACAGATTGACGCTCGGCCGGGTGCTCCCATCGGATGAGCCTGCGCATTGTAGTCGCATGACGCGCCTTCGAGGAGGCAGCGTCGGCATGCGGGTTTCGTCAGATCGCATCGGACACGACGTTTCTTGCAAGGCCAGCAAGAGCCCGGGACGACGCGCACTCGTCGCGACATGCTACGCAGATTGACGTTCGAGAAGGGATCGGTCGATGAAGCCGATTAGCGGCGGGCGGAGACCCAATTCTGTAAATGATACTCAAAGACGCGGGTATCGGAGAAGACCATGACGAGGTGGGCTCGAGTTTGGGCGAGTGGCCCGAAGGGTTCAGGTTGCTGAGAGGGGACGCCAAACGGCAGGTGATGGGGGAGGGGGGAAATATAGAACTCGGTGGCTTGCTGGCAACGAGGTGGTGATGGTGATGGAGGAGAACAAGAGGTTGGTGTTGACAGCCAGAGAGGCGGGGGAAAGGTGTCGGGGTTTCACAGTATTCTAGCGCCGATAGCGATTGCGAGAGTAGCTGCTCCATGCCTACACCAAGGTACCTACCTCCCTAGGCCCCCTACTAGTTGCCTAGGGCATCACCTACCTACCTAGGGTAGGTACCTAGGTAAAGTAGGTAGGTACGTGTCAGCACCACCTGCACTCTGCCTAAGGAACATCACAGTCTTGGGTGCCTCCTACCGCTTCACTTCTTCCGGTACCTCCTGACAGGCAGGTGCGTTGGCGGCGACGGCCTTGCCCTGATGAAAACTCGTTTACCCCTCGCTGCCATCTTTCGTTGGGCCTGAGATCGGGTGGTCCGGTCTTCCCGCCTCTCATATGACCACTGGTTCCATTTTATACCATGCTCTGCTCGATCCGCCACCACGTCTCACGATATCACGCCCTCGCCTGCGCCAGGTCTGAACAACCCAGCGACAGCAGTCTTGGCCTGTCTGTTCACCGCAGGGAGATTACGTGACAGGCAACGAAGAAGAATGGTCAATTTTCATCCGTAAAGTCCAGCAGCACGTCAACCAGTACATATTAACAACTAACAATCAGCATCACAGCTTCGACGGCACTGTCATGTTCACGTGGACGGCCTTGATGTTCGAGTACGCTGCAAGCCCCGCCTCGCCCAACTCCCGCCCAATGCCGCTCTGCTTGACACCGCCAAAAGGAACACGCCAGTCACTGTCGTTGCTCGAGTTGATCCAAACCATGCCGGCCTCGATCCGCCTCGCCACACGGTGCGCTCGCGTCAGATCCCTCGTGAAGACGGCGCTGCCGAGCCCGTACTGTGTATCGTTGGCAAGCTTGAGTGCCTCTTCTTCCGTTTTGAATGTCGAAATGACCACAAATGGCCCAAACACCTCTTCCTGGAAGATCCGCATCTGAGGTGTCACCCCCGTGAAGACGGTCGGCTGCACGAAAAAGCCGGATCCAACGCCCTTCGCTGGCTCGCCACCCATTTCGAGCGTGGCACCCTCGCTGGTGCCGATGCCAGCATACTCTAGCACCCTGTCGTACTGCGCCCTCGTTACCTGAGGACCCTGGAACGTCTCTTCGTCGAACGGGTCGCCGACGCGCGAAACAGTCTTTACCTGTTCTCGGAACGCAGCCAAAAACTTAGAATAAATGCCCTCCTGTACAAGGATACGCGACGTCGCTGTGCAAATTTGGCCCTGATTCGACATGATGCCAATGTGCGACCATTCAACGGCATTCTCCAGGTCGGCATCGTCGAACACGATGAGTGGGCTCTTGCCGCCAGTCTCCAGTGTGATATTCTTCAGGTTCACGCTCGCCATCTTCATAATGTGCTTGGCCGTCGCAGTTGATCCCGTGAAGGCGATCTTGTCGACATCCAGGTGGCTCGCCAGGGCTGCGCCGGCAACAGGACCCGTGCCGTTCACAATGTTGATGACACCCGGTGGGAAACCAGCCTGCGCCACTAGGCTTGCGAGGAACAGAATAGACAAAGGTGTCTGCTCGGCGGGCTTCAGAACGACCGTGTTGCCACAAGCCAGCGCAGGGCCTAGCTTCCACGCTGCCATGGAAAGGGGGTAGTTCCACGGGATGATCTGCCCGCATACGCCGACGGGCTCACGGACAGTGTAAGCAAACTTGGCCGGCGTAGTGTCGATAACTTGGCCGAACACCTTGTCTGCATACCCAGCGTAGTAACGAAGTGTGCCTACAGTTTCGGCCAAATCCTCGTTCAGCGCAGTTGCGTACGGTTTACCATTGTCCCACGCTTCAATAGTCGCCAGCGTTTCACGGTGCTCGTGGATGAGGTCGGCGAGACGATCCATCAATTGGCCGCGGTCGGTGCCAGGAAGATCGCGCCAGCTCGGGTCATTGAGGGCCTTGCGGGCTGCCTTGACAGCCTTGTCAACATCTTCTTCCGAAGCGGCTTGTACTGATGCGATCGGCTTCTCGTTGCTTTGGCAAGTCAGTAAAGGAACCTCGAAAAATCAGACGAAGATAATCCCTTGGTACGTACGTAGGGTTGATGCTTGTGATCTTGCTGCCGTCTGATGACGCATGCCAGTCGTTGTTGATGAACAGGCCGAGCGGTTGGGTGTATATCCGCTTGTTCGGCGCTGTCAGCTCAATCTTCAACTCTGTCGCCATTTTTTCAACTTTCTTCTCGAGACCTGAGATAACGACAACCAAACAGAGCGCGAATGTCGACTCGCCCTGAAACGCTTGAAGGTAGAGACAAGATAACGCAAGAATATGCTTGCCAGGGAGACGTAGCGGGGGAGAGTTGGTCAGTCGAGGGTATGCCTCTGATCGCTGTCGACAAATCCTGGAGCTCCGTGACGTTATCACCTCTTCCCATTTGCCTGCCCCACCTGGACTACATCTTTCGGCCTTCTCTTTCCGAGGTTGCTTGCTCCCCGGCAGCGTCATCCACATCTGACGCACCCGGCCCGGTGTCATTTGCTCGAGCCGGTAGCTGGTGGTCGAAACCGTCTCGTTATTCCACCAGAGGTCAGCATTACCAACCCCTGGTACTTTTGGAGTCAACCAGGCTGCCTTCTCGCGATAGCTCTTTCTGCCCTAAGACAAAACAGGCAATAAATTGGACAGAGGGGGTGAGATCAGCTGGGCGATTCCCCGCATCCCCGCTGTCAAGCTATTCCCTGCAGCTCTAACGTATTTGGGGAAGAAGATAGGCATGCCGTGCCGCACAAGCTTTGTTGTGGCTTCTTATCGCCTTGGCTGGGCCAGCTTGATTGCCAGCCTGGCCAGGTCAGTGTCTCCAGGGCTAGAGTTGGGGTTGACAAGGAGCGAATTGGCGTTGCAGGCTTACGATGTCGTCCCCTGAACTCTCAGTACGGCACCTTGTTTCTCGTACGTAACAGGGAGTAAAGACGAACGCGCACCAGTGGACCAGTATTCGGCTCCCCATGGGGAAGTTGAAACGAAGATCTCGGCAGTGTATTGAGGTCACAACGAGGTAATCAAAGTCGCGACAATGTCTGATACGTATTCAAACAGCAACATCTGATTGTCAAAGCAGCGACTGACAACGGGCATCCGGTATTGGTCCCTACAGCTGACGGCATCGGTGTAATACGCAAAGTAAGGGGGTCGCCTCCATTTTGCGAGCACGGCCTGGCTATATGATTTCAAGAAATGCGATTTCGAATACGGGCTACAATTATCAAGACACGGACAAGCCACCAACACAGCATTGTGTTCCCCAGGGAAGTAAAGCAATCGACACCCGCCGCGTCTAAGACTGCCGCCTCTCCCGGAAAGACTCGGTGGTATCCTTGACATCACTGGGGCCTTCGGCCCCGGGGTGGTCTGCGGCTGCTTGTGATAGCTCAGTGCGGCGCGCTTCAATGATGACTTCTTCGGCCTCGCTTGCGCGCAGGTAGGTCAGGCGGCCCTTGGTGACCCAGAAACCAAGAGACACGACCATCATGATACCAAACACCCGCGATGGGCGTAGTTCATATCGGAGACGGTCGGATTTGGCGTACCTGGTGAAGAAGAAGAAGACACTTCGTGATGGCGCAGTAGAAAGACCGAGATCCAATTAATCAAGGTCCCAAAACGACCAAGCTTGAACTCAGCAGGCGGGAGCTTATCGCGACCGACCATGAGCAACACGAGCACGGGCATGCCGTAGGAAACCGGCAATGCGATGACGCTGA